TATAATATGTTAACATAAATTAGATTTTTGGTCTCACAAATGGTTAGAAAACAAATTAAGCCTTTAAAAACCCAGTGCTCCAATAATTCCTCACCGGGAAGTCAGCAATCAGGATACAGCAATGAGTAATATGAAGGCCCTGTGTTACCACTAAATCCATCTGAAGCACAGAATCAATACAGCCAAGAAAGGTCCTCTACACAAACGAGAGCTTTAGCTTGCGGAATCAAAAGTGTCAACATCACCTTCACCGTCAGCCTCACACACAGAGAAGCACACCAAAACTCATTACATGTGGGACCAGGACTAACCTTTGTTCTCCAAGACAACAAACATTCCCCATCAAGGCAATGCTGCTCTGTGGAAGTTCTTGGCTATTCCTGAATTAGATTAGGCACCTTGGATATCTCCTTTAAAATTTGGATTTAAACCTGCAGTGGATCTACCAGGCCGACAAAATCAGAGTCACTGGCCTCCATTGCTTCAAGTCTTCCCCCAAACTAGACACCTCCATCCTTCCCTGCAATGCCATCCTACCTGCTGCAAATTCCAGCTTCTTGGTTTTTGTTTTGGGCTGAGCAATGGTTACATTGATTTGCCCATCGCTCAGCACCATTTCAAGCCAGCCCAAGTCATCAGCAAAGGGTGTGTACATGAGCAGGCCCACAACGTCCCATGTGCGGAAGCTGAAGCTGATTGCCAGCTGATTGCGCCGGGGATAGCCGGGCACTTGCAGGAAATTGTTGACCCCAGCAAAGGTAAAGGGGAACAAGAGGTTGTCTCGACAGAAAAAGCCAATGTGGCCCTGCAAGAAAGAAAGAAAGAAAATAGTGAGGTGGATCCTGGGCAGTGGAAGTCCAACAGCATAATAAGGCAAAAGTGAGAGGTGGAAGGGAGAAGGACCTAAACGACATGCCATGAAAGCTAAGCCATGTGCTTTCACAGCGTGTTACACGTGCACTATGTTGAACTTATCAGATGAGTAATTCTGCACTTCGCCAATCCTTGTCTTCCTCTTGCAAGGGGGAGAGACATTTTATCCTCACCACTGTGGGCATAAGATTGATATCAAGTCGACAGACGATGCCCAGTGAAACCTCAGAAGCAGGTTAGATATGGGAAAGAAGGCAAAGAGGACCTGCAAGGGCTCTGGGGGCACTTTCAGACACTCTGGTTATTTCCTCGATCTACGAAGTATTCCTAGCAGAGTCCAAATAAATTATACAAAATAGATAAACTAATAGAGGAGATAACATGCAGCTCACTGGCTTCATACATTCCTCCAGGGACATTTTGGGACATCCAAAAGCTACCCCAAATTAAAAGGGTAAAAACTAAAGACTTATTCCTACTTCTGGAAGCCTTCAGAGGCAGCGATATTTGATTTAGGGAGGCTTTGGGAGGTCCCCCAAGCCCTATCCACCCCCCAAAATATAATAAAAGGGAATTCCTGTATACATTTTAAAGTAACTAATGCTACTATTTAATTGATATTTGTTCATTTTAATATTATATCTGTTTAATTCTTTCTTAATACTGTAAAAAATTACTGGTAGCTCTAAATAGCTCTAAATGTTATTTCTGTTTAATACTGTAAGCTACTTCAAGCCCTTTCAGGAAAAAGATGGGCTATAAATATTTTAATTAATAAATAATTTTTTTAAAAAGCTTGGGGGAAAACCAATGATTTCTAGGCCTAATGTGGACTGTGGCAGGTGCCGAGGGCTAAATTTGGCAACCAAATCCTTCAAAGTTTTTCATTCTTCATACACTGTTATTCTTTCTTTCATTCATTTATTCATTTGCCATCCTTCTCCCCATAAGGACCCAAGGTGTTTCACAAAAGATGAAACAACAGGTTTAAAACCACTAAATAAATATATTTTAAAAAACAATTAAACATATATTCAGATCTTAAAATCAAGTTCTAAAACAATTTAAAAGCATTTAAAAAATCTGTAAGTTAACAACAGTCTTACATTCCTGAGATAACTGACTGCTTAAAAGCTTGCCTGAAGAGGAAGGTCTTCGCCTGATGAGGAAAGGACAAGAGGGAGGGGACCAACCTGGCTTCTTGGGCAATGCATTGCAAAGCCTGGGAAGCAGTCCCTGAAAAGGCACACTCTCATGTCCTCACCAAACAAGTTTGGGAAGGTGCAGGAACCAACAGAAGGGCCTCCCCAGAAGATCTTAAAAGCCAAGAAGACTCATATGGGATGACAGGATATTTCAAATACCATGGGCCCAAGTTCTATAGGGTTTTAAAAGGTAATAACCAGCACTATGAACTGGGCCAGAAAACAGACTAGCAGCCAGTGAAGCTATTGTAATAAGGGAGAGGTAAGGGAGTTGTATCAACAGTTTGGCTGCAGCATTTTGAACCAGCTGAAGTTTCCAAACACTCTTCAAAGGCAGCCCCACGTAGAGCACATTGCAGCAGTCCAAACAGGATGTAAATAAGGTGTGGTCACCATGGCCAAAATGGACATCTCAAGGAACAGGGGCAACTGATGCACCAGATTTAACTGTGCAAATGCACTCCAGGCCACTGCTGAAACCTGTGCATCCAAGCTCAGGGTGAGTCCAGAAGTACATTCAAGCTGTGGACCTGATTTTTCAGGGGAAGTAACTCCATCCAGTACAGGCTAAATCCCTATCCTCTGATTTGGCCTAAAGCACTGGTTCTTAACCTTGGGTTACTCAGGAGTTTTGGACTGCAACTCCCAGAAGCCTTCACCACCAACTGTGCTGGCTGGGGTTTCTGGGAGTTGCAGTTCAAAAACATCCAAGTAACAAAGGTTAAGAACCACTGGTCTAAAGAACAGTCCCAAAAAGCTTTCACTTTAATTGTCAGCAGGCACAGCCATCCCATCAAGCTGTGTCAGAAGAATAGAAGCCCAGCTATTCTGTCAGCCCTGTTAAAAGATCTACTTCATCCAACTCCTCCTCTTACTGAACTTAAAAACTGATCTGAGGCCACTTCCCCCTTCCCTATGCCTTTTTAATTTTGTGTTGTATATTCAGACTGAAAGGCAATACAAAACGACTCTATTGTTTTAAGTGAACATATGTAAATTGCCTGGGGAATCACATTACAGAGTGGTTTAGATGAAATCATTTTACTCTCAAAAAAGAATGACATGTTCCCCTTCCCTGTCAGTTAAGAAAACCAGGGCTGTACCATCACAGGCTGCCTTAATGGCAAGAGTGCATCTGTGGTGCTCCAGATGTGCTTGGCCTACAACTCCACTCAGCCTTAACCAATTTAGAAATAGGGCAGGATTACGGAGATCATAGCCCCAGCTGCCCAGGCCTGTTTCATAGCATCTTTACAGAAATCTGTTCACTTACAAATTAATGGTTGGAAAAAAATAATAGAGGTGCAGAAGGAAGCATAGCCAATGGCAGTACAAAAGCAAAATAACTGCAATCTTGCACAACATACTCTCCACAGAGTATTACCTAGAGAGGGCCTGAAGGCACACCTATAACAAAATCAGGAGCTACCAGACAGTATCTCCCCCTTGCCATAGACCAAATCTAACACCAGTGTCATTCCTCACCTCAACTCGGATGGAGGGGTGTCTCCGTCTTGCCCTGGTTGATATGTAGATCAAGTTGTAAGCTATGTTTTCCATGCACCCATGGAAATTCTGGCGATAGGCAAGGCGGTGTTTCTCATGGTTCATCACTCCTCCAAAGAAAACCTGCAGAGGCCAAAAGAAGGAGATAGCAGCTCAGCTGGCAGCCACAGAGTGCCCAACAAAGTCCAGTCTCTTCTGCTATAAGAGGAAATGGAGGACGGGCAGTCATTAAAAAGCTTAAGCAAGAACCAGCCTCATGCCGGGAAAAGGAAGAATCATTTGGTCTAGGCTTAAAACTTGAAATCCATGATCAGGTCATGGCAAATATGAGCTGCAGTAAAGTCTTGGACAATGTGATCCTAAGGCTACAGCTCCCAGAATCCCCCAGCCAGGGGATTCTGGAGGTTGTAGTCCAAAATGGAATCCTTACGAACCTTTGATGATTCTTCTTAATTTCATTACCTCTGTGTCTAGGTCAAGCTGCTCAAATGCCCCATTGAGGCGGAAACGCACAACTTCCCCATCCAAGCTAAAGTTGACAAACTGCCTGTAGCGATCAAGGCGAAACTGGTGCCAGTGTTGGTCATCCAGAAGGCTTCCCAATTTCATTGTTGTCTCCCCTCCACTGGTGTTCAATGAACTGTTACCTAAGGTGTTGAGACACATGGCAACTCAATGTTGAGGGACAGTAATAATAGAAACGTGCAGGTAGACCATTTTTCAAATTTTCTCATTTGCCTTTGACTATTTGTTAAGCTAACATATATCCACAAGCTGGAAAGAATATTTCTGGTAAGCTATAGAGTTTTCAAACACTAGGGTGCAGCATACTAGTCTTCTTCTTCTTCTTTTAATGGACTAAGTTGAGAACCTCTTAGATTTTCCAGCTAAGGAAAAGCTAATTGAAAGGTATGCTATGTGCTTAGGGTGAGGCTACAAAGCAAAGGAAATGCAAATTCATTTGCATTCACTAGTTGTGAAGTCCCACCAAGTAATTCAGGTCGGTTTGCTTTAGGTGGCCAAACAGGTAGCCAGTAGAAAAGCCTCTTTTANAGAACCTGCCTAAATAAGTTGTAATAGGAGTTTCCTCCTCTTCATTTCTTCTCTTATTTGTGTTCTTATTATTTATTTATTGTTATTTTTATGTGTTTAGGTTCTCTAGTGCATGAGCACTGGCATGCTGTTTAAAAAATCTTGTCAGCTTTGCAAGCAGTTTCTAAGTGCTAAAAGAAAGACTTGTAGAGAGATGTTTTGCTCCTCCAGTTATACGTGAACATTGAGGCTTTCTGAGGCTTAGCTGGAAGAAGAAGAAGGGGAAGGAGAAGGAAAAGAAGACACAGCAGGAATAGACTTTGCCCTCCATTCCTAAGTGTGCCGGCACAGTAGCTTTTCTGTGGTTCTGTGTCAGTTCAAAGGATTACATGCCTGAACCAATGTGAACTGATTCATTATTGTAAAAAGCAGAAGCCCCTGCAGCAGATGGAAGAATTACAAATTGGGGGAGAGAACTCTGAGTCAATATGCATTTCCCTTTGTGTTGTATGTTCAACAAAAATAATGCAAATCAACCCACCCAAAATCTGTAGCATTTTCCACCAGTGCAATAGCACCTTTAAAGGGCTAAAGAAATGCAAAGGACAGAGGTGTAAAGCCCTTCCTTCTTCCTTCCAAAATGGTCAGACTAATTTCTGTTATATTCTAGGCTGAGGGAAGCCAAATGGATGAATGAAATGTAAGATGCAGAATTGTTGAAGGGTTCAATACCTCCCCACCAGGCACACACACTTTACATATGTATTAATGATTCACTTCAAAAACTGCAAGTCAACTGCCTTCCTGTGTTGTCTGAGTCCAAGATCTGCTTTGCTTAGCCTTAGTTGTTTAGTATCTCATTCCCAATATTCTACCAACAGACCTTGCAAGATTTCTAACTACTTGTGCCTGGACACCAAACAGGAGAGGATGAGACCACATCTTATATAAAATAGCGAAGCAGTTTGCAGCATTTGAAATTTATTGGTCTTAAACTATAGCACTATGAAATACTGATTCGTGCAGTTAGTACCTTACGAATACTGTTATGAAAGCTATTAGAATGCAGCTACCAGGCTGTTGTTGGATGTGAGCAAATTTGACCACATTACCCCTAAATTGGCCACTTATGAGGTTCTGGGCCAAGTTTGAAGTTCTGTTTCTTACCTACAAAACCCTTCACAGTTTAGACTTTCATTACTTATCAGAGCACCTTTCCCCAAGAATATTGACACATGCCACTAAATCTTTGCAGTCGTTATGGGTTGCCACACTGCGGGAGATCAGAAAGACATCCACCAGACATTGTGTGTTTTCAGTGCTGGCATCAGCCCTTTGGAATGGGCTCCCAGTTGAACTGTGCTTGGCCCTCTCCTTTTCTATCTTCAAGAGGCTACTTAATATTATGCTTTTTAAAGAAGCTTTTAGTGGCATTCTTTAACAAATCTGTCAAAATTGTTTTGTCCATTTGACCATCGCCGCTGTTCTCGATGTGTTTGTTTTTATCCTGTTTGCTTTAGGGGGCCACACAGGTTTGTTCTTATTTTTTTTTAATTATCATTTATCTTTATTGTTATAAAATTTGTATTTATTTTGTTAACTGTCCAGAGTAGTGCCTTGCACTAATCAAGTGGTATAAAAGTGGAATGAATGAATGAATCAAAAATAATGCAAATCAACCCACCCAAAATCTGTAGCATTTTCCACATTTTCCCCCAGTGCAGTAGCACTTTTAAAGGGCAAAAAAAAAATGCAAAGGACAGAGGTGTAAAGCCCTTCCTTCTTCCTTCCAAAATGGTCAGACTAATTTCTGTTATATTCTAGGCTGAGGGAAGCCAAATGGATGAATGAAATGTAAGATGCAGAATTGTTGAAGGGTTCAATACCTCCCCACCAGGCACACACACTTTACATATGTATTAATGATTCACTTCAAAAACTGCAAGTCAACTGCCTTCCTGTGTTGTCTGAGTCCAAGATCTGCTTTGCTTACCCTTAGTTGTTTAGTATCTCATTCCCAATATTCTACCAACAGACCTTGCAAGATTTCTAACTACTTGTGCCTGGACACCAAACAGGAGAGGATGAGACCACATCTTATATAAAATAGCGAAGCAGTTTGCAGCATTTGAAATTTATTGGTCTTAAACTATAGCACTATGAAATACTGATTCGTGCAGTTAGTACCTTACGAATACTGTTATGAAAGCTATTAGAATGCAGCTACCAGGCTGTTGTTGGATGTGAGCAAATTTGACCACATTACCCCTAAATTGGCCACTTATGAGGTTCTGGGCCAAGTTTGAAGTTCTGTTTCTTACCTACAAAACCCTTCACAGTTTAGACTTTCATTACTTATCAGAGCACCTTTCCCCAAGAATATTGACACATGCCACTAAATCTTTGCAGTCGTTATGGGTTGCCACACTGCGGGAGATCAGAAAGACATCCACCAGACATTGTGCGTTTTCAGTGCTGGCATCAGCCCTTTGGAATGGGCTCCCAGTTGAACTGTGCTTGGCCCTCTCCTTTTCTATCTTCAAGAGGCTACTTAATATTATGCTTTTTAAAGAAGCTTTTAGTGGCATTCTTTAACAAATCTGTCAAAATTGTTTTGTCCATTTGACCATTGCTGCTGTTCTCAGTGTGTTTGTTTTTATCCTGTTTACTTTAGGGGGCCACACAGGTTTGTTCTTAAATTAAAACAGCACTCTTTCATCCAAATAAAACTGAATCTTTTAGTGTGTGCTCAGTGAAATCATAACTGTATAAAACTATAATCTGCAATTGTTTTGTCCTCCTATGGATCAAGACTGGGGAGACATGTCATTTTCTCTCACCCTTTTGGGTTCTCACAGGCTGACAGCTGCAAGTGTGATTTGATATTTTAATAGTCATGGCTTTTAGAGCACGAAAGCAAAGTTGTTTGACTTTCTTTCCTTTTTTTTCCTCTCCAGTTTTTAATAGCATATAACCTGCTGAAGATTTCTGGAGAACTCACAAGGTCACTCTAGATTGCTGGAGAACTCACAAGCACACAGAGGATTTTGAATGTTGTTGTATGTTTGGCCATCTTAATAAGTGCAAATATCCCTATTAATACACTTTTGCCTAAGTGACCTGATGGCTATTTACACATTGTTGCTTAATGGCTGAATGCCTCACTCCAGTCTTTCAGAATATGCCCATAAGGGAGTTTCTGAAGAAGAATGGTGGAAAACTAGATACAGTTGACTTGTTTGAATTTAGTCATGCATAGAGAACTACAAGGCCACCAGGGAGGAAATACACTTTGCATTCAGTTGCTCTTTGCTATATAACAATCAGAGCTTTGAAAAGTTCCTTTTTCAAACAACAATTCCCAGAATCCATCAAGCCAGCATAGCTTGATGGATTCTGGGAATATTCTGAGTACTCCAGAAAACTGATTTTACACGTTCTGGATATGGTATATGATGAATTATTATGCTCTTTGCCCTAGGAGTATACCTTTTTCTAAACACATATATTTAAACGGTTGCTAAAACAGGATAAAGTACAGTCTAGCACCATCTAACAGACTTATAAATCTATGCATTTGATGAAGTGAACTGCAGTCCAAATGAAACTTGCTAGTTTTTGAGGTGACACAGGATTCTTTGTTGGTTTTGCTGCAAATGCTAAACACAGCTAACTGAAATTAAAACAGCACTCTTTCATCCAAATAAAACTGAATCTTTTAGTGTGTGCTCAATGAAATCATAACTGTATAAAACTATAATCTGAGTATATGCAATTGTTTTGTCCTCATATCGATCAAGACTGGGGAAAGATGTCATTTTCTCTCACCCTTTTGGGTTCTCCCAGGCTGACAGCTGCAAGTGTGATTTCCCTCTCCCCAGAATAGGGGTGCTGCCCTACCAGCTCACTCAGGCAAACTCTGCCCAGACCTACACCAATCTCACCAAGACTCAAGCTAAGAACCAGCTGGGCCTGATGCAGTTCCACACGGATGTAGTCTCCCTGAGACCCTGCTGCATACATCAAGATGCCCTCGCGTTGCATGGTTTTGAAGTTGAACCCAATCATGTCTTGGGTGGTACGGATAGTTTTGGTGCGGAACTTGTAGGAAATGGCATCATCCCCATCAAAATATAAGATATCAGACTCTGCAAAGAGGAAGAGGGACAAAGAAAGACACAAGTCAAGTCTCTTCTTCAAGCAGCTCCTGGCTCCTTCTGGCCAATATGACTCCAAATGAGACCAAGAACATGCTGGTCAGTGCTCAGCTTATATGCATATGGCTCTTTATCAATGCTAAGGGAGTGGGTCAGCAACCAAGATTTCTGTCTATTCAGCTGCAATCCAAGTATTAGAGGTGTGCAGGTTTATGTCGGGTGTTTTTTGGACTACAGCTCCTAGAATTACCCAAAAAACCCCCACAAATCTGCACAATGGTTGTAACGTTTTAACAGAACATCTGCCCAAATCACTGTGAGATCACATGTAGAAAATACCTGCAAACAAACTCTTTTCCTTCTTCCCTTTTTTCCCTTCTTGGTCACAGGAGACACTTTACAGACACATGCCACCAATTTTTGGACTCTTGCCTACAATTTTTCTGCACTGTGGGCTGTGCTAAGCCTGAAGAAGTGGAGTTTTCTCCATGAAAGCTCGCTATTTGTTTGATTCTTTAATAGTCCAATAAAAGGTATCACCCACTCTTACACATGTCATCCTGGTGACCACTTGTTCTTTAAAACTTAAGCAGATATTCTCATTTTCCCTTCTCATAACAAGTGGCTCAAGGACTAATTCCCAAAACTGCTTTTCCATAGACATATATTTCTTATGTGAAATATTCACCAAAGGCAGATGGTGTGGGCAAAAGTTACTTTTTGATCAGTGGAGGAGATGACATTTGTTCTGTATTTTTCTAGTTAGTTCTTGTGGGATCTGAAAAAAATATGTTTAAAAGATTCATAATCACATAAATGCACATATTTATTTTCTATCTCTGTGATGGTGGATCTTTTTAACATACTGTTCCAGATTCCAAAATGAATAATCCAGTTTCTTTCACAGAGAAAGATACATAAGGCCATTTTTTTCCTTCATCACCACAAAAAGTAACCTTTGCCTTAGGCCTTCTGAACGGCCAAGCATTTCACATTTTTATGCTCCAGCTGCTTTGGAAAACACATCAACCCTCCCAGCAGCATCACTTACGGTAGTAGCAGCCATAAAGGCCCACACGTAACCCAATATTGCCATGGGGATTCCAAGCCACAGGAATGATGCGGAGGTAACGAGCCAAGATGGGGTAATGCAGGTCATGGATGACCACACCGCTTGCATTTACGTTTCCAAAAAACGTCTAAAGAAAAAAAAAGCAGGAGGAAAACAAGACATGACAAGGAACAGGACTCACAGTAACAGGATGACTAGCCTCTGGGGCTTTTCCTCCTACATAAATATAGACATCCTAGATTTCAGAACTAGGATTCAAGGAGAGGGAGCTACCAGGGCCACAAAACAATGAAGTGCAAAATCCTGGTGCAGCGCATGTATTTTTCCATTTGGAAAGTCCCAGGTTCAATTCTTGCCATCTGCAGCATGAAGAACTCAGGACTGCGGAAATCTCCAGAGCTTTGAAATGTTATTTTTGGTCACTGCAAATCCCAGAATGCCTCCAGCTCATTGAATGTCTTCATCTATATGAAAACAAGCCTTAGAGACGGACGTATGTTCTTTTAGCATCTTTATTTACAAATGCAGAATCAATGGATTCTATTTATTTACAAATGCAGGATCAAGCAGACTGTGAAAAAAGGTAGCACACTCACTGATCCTACTATACCATGAGTAGACAGTGAGGGTTTTCCAGACATTCTTGGATGGCCATTACCTGTAATGGCTGGGGGATTTTTGGAATTGTAGTCCAAGCAAGTTCCTATGACCTTGAAGACTTGTGGCCACCTGGAGTACAGAGTAATGAGCTGCAGGTAACAGTCTCAATATAAAGGCTATTTCTTCTGTCCTCAACTCTACCACTAAAATCTCCCACAGCTTTTGAGACACTGTTTTTGTTAAAAAAAACTATTTCAGGGAAGAAACAGTAAAGAAAAAGGAGAATGTGTTGTGTTGAATAATTAGATTATCATGACACTACATCTATGAGGTTCACTGCTTGGCCACCCTGTTTCAACCAACCTTACAGGGCTTTGTTCTATAGATAAAAATGTAATAACCCTGATGTAAGCTCCTGGAGCAATCTAGAAGAAAAAGTACTCTTCCCTGATGGTGGAACCCTGTCTTGCTTGGTGGCTCATTGTCCTCATCCTTTGGCTTCTTTGAGGCAGCACTAAAGACTCACCTCTTTGACTTGGTTCATAACTTAACCCAGTTGCACCATTATCACTAGCAGTATTATTTGGTGTAAGACTTTATTTTATTTCACCCTAAATGTGCAGCTTATATACCTTGCACATCAATAAATAATCAATGGCATAAATAAATTAGTATCAGCTTTATGTTTGGGAAGTGCTGTTCAAGAGCAAATATGCATGAATCTTGATTATTACAAAATGTAATCATTGAACAGTCCAGTTGAAACCAGGAGTGAAACAGCAATGTATCTGTGTGGAAAGAAGGCAAACCTTAAACTCCAGTATGTACACTGCATTAAGGAAGTCGCAGTGACAAAGTATTTTTAGGACTTTCCAGTAGCTAGTATTTTGATTCTGTAAATGTATCTATAGCTATGAACACCACACCGTGATCACTTGCTCCATGTAAGTGGACACCAATCCCCCGGACAACAGCTGAAGTCTACGAAAAGGTTCTATACACCTCTCAAGCTCTGTTCTGGTCAAAAAATAGTCTTGACATTTTAACTGGCTTTTGATTTTGCCTTTATTTCATGTGTGTCTATGATTTTGAATTCTAAAGAAATATGTCAATTGAGAATATGTCTCAAAAAAATCCTGTGAGGGGGCTGGATCTGATCCCAGTTCTACAACCTGGCAAAAACAAATCGCAGATAGAGGAACTCGGCATGAGTCTTTTAGTGGTAGCCACTTTATCATCATGATCCAGGGGCTTGGAGAGAGCGAGAGGCTAAACAACGAGTGGTGGAAGCAGAGGAGAACCTGAAAGATCTCTGTGTCTAAGACATATTGTCCTAGGCCAGCACTGGCATCCCCTGAGACTAGATTCAGCACTGGGACAGCCACCTCTTCTCTAAGTGTTTTGAGAGCCCAGCAAGCCAATATGTAAGCAGCATCAGCAGCATGGTCCTGAAGACCAAGTTGAAAGCCCACCAGTTTAAAGCTTTCAATTTTATTGGAAGACATAGAGCAGACAGAGGAGCAGGGGAGGAGGGATTGGTCAAGAAACATAAAAAGCTTCAATTGAGCTTCAGACCTTAGTAGAACAACCAAGTGCTCACTTGGAGCTATCCAAGGTGCTGCATCTTCTGGTCCAACCTAGAAGTTTTCACTAGTGTACTTGCTAGAACACAATACTTACCAAACATATTTCAAAACTATTGATGTCTTATTTTTATCATATTTCTAGAATGATAGCCGTTGACAGGTTTTATCCACACTTATTTTGTTGCAGGCTCCCTTGAGAGCTTTACAAAACTGAATTAAAATAGGAAAGGTTTGATGACAAATTTAAACTGCAATCAACAATCAGCTTAATTATTTTGCATATCTGCATCTTCTTATACAGTGGATGTCACAGACATTCATACTATCTCATGTAAAAGAAAAGTGGAATAACTTTTGCAGAATACAGTCCAAGGTTAGCCTTATAATTTACTTATTCCAGGATGGGGAATTTTCAGCCTATCAGATGGTTTGGATTTCAGCTAACAGAAAACCTGGCCAGCATGAACAATAGTAAGGGACTGTGGGCGTTACAATCCAAAACATAGTGTCTATATAAGGGATATAGCTTCTGTACAAGGATGGCCAACTTCAAGTATCAACATGTTTTTAGATTGCATCTCACATTAACTCTAGTCAGCATAGATAGTGGGGTGGGATGCACAGAGATGCAGCCCAGGAAAAACTGGGGTGCCACATTTTCTCCATCCCTTTTTGATGCTTCAAAAAAACCCCCCACCCCTAATGTTTGAAACCTATGACTACCAAGGCATGGAAGACATCAACTCTTGAATAGGCCACACCCTCTATCTGATTGGAGGCAGGGGTGGCAAGCCCTCTCTCACCCAATTGCCCCCTCGTTGAAAATAAGGCTTCCAGTTGCTGGGATGGTCACCATAGAGGACAATGTAGCGTGTCACCCAATTGTATGTATTGAATGTTCCTTGAGTAGCAATCTGTTTAATGTGGGCTTTCTTTGTCAGGTCAATCTGGAGCCAGGGATGCTTGTCGTTAGGATCAGGTGACCAGCCACCAGCACCTGCACAAGAAAGAGAACGAAGAGGACAGAAGCCATGGAAATGATATCTTTTCTGTACCTTCCACAACAAAAACAAATATGTTATTGTCCAAAGCTTTCTGCCACACATCTAGACATGCCCAAGAGACTCTGTCATCTACCACAATATCACTTAACAACACACTGGCCACTCACTCAATTTCAATTTCTTGTCATTGAATGTATATACACCATATAGACATACAACAAAATTCACAAAGAATACTCAGAGACCAGATCAACACACACACACAACCTTGTAACAACCCCTAAGTCTCAAAAACCCACCCAAGAGCTTATAGTATCCACACAACATGCAGCAGAATATAGATGAAACCACAAATTGTTGTCCCCTTACAGAGGCTAGCTCACCAAGTTGGAGCATCTATCTGCATAGCAAGAGGTTGCGAGTTCAATTCCCTAGTGTGCCTCTCAGTCCCAGCCTATGTGGCCTTGGGCAAAATTTCGCTAGAACACCCCCAGAAGGGACTGATAAACTATTTCTGAGTACTCTGTACCTAGAAAACCCTGTAAAGGGTCACCATAAGGCAGAACTAACTTGAAAAACAATTATTATTATTATTTAAAAGAATCTCAAAGTCTGATGTTTATCCTGCATTGTTTCACACCAAGTATTCTCATGATACGCAGTGAGCTTATGGAATTATGTAACATTTGTTTGTTTGAACTTAAATATTTAATATTTACTCATTTGACTTACGTCCTACTTCTTCTGAAAGTAAGATTACAAACAGCTACAGATAAAAATAGATGAAAAGTTATAGTGCTAAAATACAATTGAGCAAATGATACTATCATAAAATTAGAATATGAAATCCTTCCTCCAAAGACCTCAAAGCAAAAGACATATGGAGCTTCTCTTGTTCAGCATTTAAAGAGCACGAATAATTCTAATGGTGGAATACAGGAAAGGTTAACTACAAAGGGACCAATTCTTCTACCATGGGTTGCTGGTGAACCTCCTTAGGGCAAGTGGCCAATTTTGGAAGATAATCAACAGAGCTAAACAGGTCACTGGTTTAGTTTTATTATGTGCTAATGTGCTTCGAGGTTGGAGGGGAAATCCGACTCTCCCTGCTTAACTCACCATAAATCCGAGCAAAAGTAGCAGCGCGGAAGATGCTAGACCGAGAGGATGCAGCAAGATTCCAAGTATAGAGGGGACCAACCAATTCATCATCACAACGCCCTGCAACAGCAGGAGATGAAAAAGGGAGAAGATACAGTATCACTGTTCCAGCCAGGCAAGAAACAGGCCCTTGTGAAGGATGCCCAAAATACTTACAGACGAGCAAGTCTGGGAACGTAAACCTCTCTTAAAAACCCTGACCTGCTAATGCCACACATGTATTCAGACTAGCTGTAGTTAATGAGTAATAAAAAAGCACTCCACATATGTTCAGATTACAGATTTTTATTACAGCAGATTGATAACAAGCTGCAGAGCTGAATATTCAGCCAATGAAGCTCTGGGCTGCCTGTTTTCTCCAGCAGCCAGAATGAAACACATCACATAGCCCCTCCTAAGATTTCTGAGATGTCGGGGCACCTGGATGCAAATTAAGAAGAGAAGGGTTCTCATGCGTCATCCAGAGGTGACAAGATTTAGACGCCAGGCAAGTGGTACCCTCAGCCCATCATCACTGTCAAACTGGAAGGCTGCTTAGCAGTACCATCCCTGTTCTCTCTCCCTCCCTCCGTTTGTTCCTCCAGGTTTTTTTTTTCCACCCCACCTTCCACTGCAGAGAGTGGCTGACACGCCCTTGCAGACTCAGCTCCTGCTAGAGAGCGAGATAGAGGGAAATTCTCTCAGGTTCCTAACAGGGTATTATGAGACAGCAGAACAAGGAGGTTGCAACACTGCTTATTCCGCAGGCAGGGAAGCAATCTTACTCTCAGCAAGTAATAAAGACGTGTAGCAGATCAAGGACAGATAGATGCAAGGGCCCACTGGCACTGCCAGCCAGAACCAGGCATCTCTTTGCCCACCTAGGCCCATGTAAACCCTCAGCCTAACTTATTAGGATATACCTCTCCCTTTGGTGGAAAAGAGAGGGCCCCAACTCCCCCTTTCTCTCACTTCCAGGGAAAAACAGGAGACGGAGAAGGAAAAGGGACACCGGGGTAAGGAAGTCAGGGGAAATATCTGCAAAGTTGACACTGTTCTATGGGCAGATATTGAAGGAACAATTGGAGACTGTCTCCCACTTCTGCAAGGCCTCTAAGAGGAGGGAAGGGAAGGGCTGTCTTCAGCCTGCACAGTCCTCTCACCCAGAGCTTGGAAATGTTGTCTTTTCGGGACTGCAACTCCCAGAATCCCCATGGCAGCAGATGCTGGGAGTTGTAATCCGGGAAAAAGGAACCTTCCAAAGTTGTTTTTACTGTCCAGACGGGAAACGGTGCATTTCGAAGAAGGTCAGCACAGTAGTGGGGCTGAGGGCAGTAAACATTCAACGTTGGGAGGCTGCCCGAAAGGTTAAGATGGCCCCCGCTCCCCCCCCCCCCCTTTAACTTCGTTTCCCTCTCCAGTTGGCACTGCCCGAGAAGGGGCAACGGGCGGCAATTCGGATAAATCCCTTCTCTCGTTTCCTCCACGGCTGACCGGCCGGGTCGCATCTCTCTCTTCGCCCCCCCACCTCCCCAAAATCACCCGTTCCCGCGCATCCAGCAGGCTCCCCTTGAGCTCAGCTCCTCCCGGTCCCCGCTTGCCTAATTCCTGGGATCGCCCTGCAGGCGAAGTAAACACTCGAACCCGAGCCCGGGGGGGAGGGGGCGCGAAACCCCAGGCGGTCTCCCGCCCCAGATCCGAACGCTCAGCCCCCGCCAGATTTCAGTTCATTCCCGGGACAGCGTGCGATAAATAAACCCATCGCGCAGTCCGGGTTTCTCCTGAGCCGCTTCCAAAGCCCCAATGCGCCGCGACC